TTTCGGTGACCAAGAAAATTGATGTAAAATCGCAAGCATTCAGTAAACGAGTACATTTACAATTTATATGTAACTACGGATTTACAATTTCTTTGTAAAAAAGCCATTATTTTGTAACAAAATTTCACAATATATTTGTGATTTTAAAATTTAAAATACATATGTTACATTGAAAATTTACTTTTTTTTGTAAAATTTCATGTTATTCTATTATAGTATATTTACCAAGTTTTGGCATTTTACATAGCGATGCACGTTTTTTACATTGTAACTGTACCATTACATTTTTGTAAATTTCTACGGGGTAAGTAAAAGTAAAACCACTATCTAACATAATAGAAACTTGTATTATATGTTGCAACGTAACGCATAATTCAAAAATACAAAAAATCCAATAAACAAAACTACTATTCAGTACACAGTTCGAAAAAATAATACTATTTCAGTAAATAGTGAAGATTATATATATTATTAAATAAAGATATGTCATTCTAAATGTCTCTTAATTTATTTAGAAGCGCAAAAACTTTGCGCTTAGACGAGTTACTTTTTTTTGATTTAGTACCATCGTCAGGGTGGATTTTTAAAAAGTATCGTTGAATCGTTTCCATGACGCAGGAAATTTCCTTTGGATACTGTAAATTTAGTAGAAAATACAGCCCAACTAGACTTTGCACTGCCTCCTCAATCGATTCAACTTCAATTGCCTGCTCCTTTTCCAAAACAATGAACAGCTTTCTTTGAACTCCCGAATCTGTATTTAAAAATTATTGTGTTAGAAGCTTTAAATAGTACATATGACTAATTTATTTGAGGTCCTTTAAACGTTGTATATTATACAAGATATTCAAAACTGATTTAGCGCAGTTCGATTTTTAAAACTTTTATTTATAAATGCAGCAGAAATGAGTATTGCTACCTTGTATAAATTGGAAACATACAAGTAAATAAAGAATGATATGTGGCATTTTTCAGAAAAAAAAACATAAAAGATTGTATCTTTTTAAACACAAACATTGTCAGTAGATACTGTACACCCTACCACGTGTCATTCTATATTTTGGACATCCATAATACCAAATTAAGAATTTTGAAAACTCTTACCTACATCCACAATACACGGCGAAAGAAATGATATATCATGATCCAGATCTGGGTCTTTCTATAACAAAAATAATTCATGGTACCTTTTATGTTCATACTCGAATACTACACCTACCTCAACTTTTAGGTAAATTTTTTCAAGATCTTCCTTATATAAGTTGCACAAAATTTCCAACGTATCTAATACTTTGTTGTTATTTTTGGGAATTTTGAAATTTCTTTGAGAAGCATATTTTGAAATATTTTCAAACTTTTCTGCCATAACATCAGATAACGTCTTTAGGTTTGCCTTGGTTAAATTATGAAAATGCCAATAAATTGCTGGAATTTGGAACAAAATAGGCCATTCTTCTTTTATTTTATGCACGGTGGGAGGATCTTCACTGTTGATAAAGTTTCTTTGGTCTGTATAAGTTCTGTTCATTAATTCATAAAATTCGTCATTATATTGCTGTTTTTTTCCTAATTCTAACAATTTAGATTTATAGTCCTCATCGTGTTGATCGTCATTTATTACATCTGGAGGGTTCCAGTTGGAACAACCCGCAGTGGAATTTTTAATTTTCTTAGATTTTGAAGATATTTGGTTAGAAGACAATCGCTTGTGTGGCCTATTTAAGTAATGGATTCTTTCATGGAGTTTTGTAAAAATGCTGCTACATCCATCTCCTAATGTTACCCCATCGTCATCGACATCTTTAAATACATTTGGGTATTTTGTTATTATTTTATTGGCCACAATTCTAATGGATTTGCTTGATGGTAGAGACTTTATAGCCATCATTTCGTTTGCAACCATATGCACAATCTCTGTTATTATTCGTTTATCACGCACTCCCTTCTCGCATACATTAATTACATTAACAGATAACTTATTCCATGGAATTTCGAAGCTAGTCCACATATATTCCATATTGTTGTCTACATGAAGTATACGTGCATTTACAATGTTGATGTTTTCTTTTTCGTCATAATTGCCATCTGCACCTGCAGTAACGGAATCTATCAGAGAAACCGTACTGGCCAGAGACACAGTACTGGCTAGTGATGTAGCTCCAGAAATGCAATCCGTATCGGTCCACTCTTCACCCGTTTGCAATAGAATTAGAATTTGTTCTTTTACCAACATAAGGATGTCATCTTCGTCCACTATGGTTCCGTCACTCTCCAATACTAGCTTCACTCCATCTATTTCAAGTTTTTGGGAAGCTGAAACAATTATGCCATTACAAACAACGCGGGACAGTAACGACCATACTAACCTTTTAACACCAGTTCAACATAAACGTTTTCCTCTGGAACACAAACCAAAACTTTTCGAGTACGTGTCCTATTCCATACTTTGAATAGATGCATCTAAACAGTATGTTAAATATTATTAGAAACTGCTGTACGTATGTGAAATATTGATTAACATTTTTAGGTAAAGTAATATCTTTTAATTGAATAGGTGCATTATTTTTAACAGTGAAGAATGATTTTTTGATAAGTAACAGTACCTACTAATTAATTGATTGCAAATATGTAATATAGTAAGTCACAAAGTTAGGAGAAACAATAAAGGCGAAACTTTCCGCTGCATATAACGGAACTGATTTTGCCTCTTCTTTCATTTTTTTTTTCATTTCGTCAGTATGATATACCGCAATTATTTACGCTTTCTAAAATTAATAGCAAAAAGTAATGCAAAATTTTAGAAATCTGGAATTTAATACATCAACACCATACTCTTATCTTTCCAATATAAAAACCCTCAACTCAATATCTCGCTGAAAAGTGAAGTGAATGTGAAATAAAATGAGATAAATTAAATCAGTGCCGTTACACAGCGGAAAGCCTCGCCTTAATGCAAAAAAATTGATTGCAGTATGTATAACGTAAAAAAATTGATACTTTTGGTTAAAATCGAAAAATTAACATTTAAAATACTTTAAACTTCTTTGTAAAATGTAATCTTTATACTACATACGGAGTTGACTTAAAACTATAAAGAATAGTTTTTGTCGTACTTAAATACTGTAAAAGTGGTTCATGACATAATAAACTGTTAAATTTAACGAAAATGTTAATTTCGGTTTCATCGGCAAATTGGTAAAACAAATCATTGTAATAATTACAAAATATTTTTGTCTTTTGACCTACAAAATAAATATCGTCATATTCTTTGGTTATTAAAATGAACTGGATTTTACACAATAGAAAGTATCCAAATGCGTCTATATCATAGCAAACTACTTGACCGGTTTTGTAAATGGTACCTCTAAAAGTAACATAGTTTGATATGAGAATGTCAATATTTCCAATGTTAGTTGTAATTAGATTCTTCATTTCATACGATACTTCACACTCGCCTAGTATATGAGCATCATCTGACAATACACTGTCATTAAATAACAAATTTTGGGTTGCATTCAGTGCTTGAAACAACTGATGCTTATTTGATAGTGAAAATAATATGTTCTTATAATTCTTACTATGTCGTATGGCATTTTTAAAGTACTGGTGTTTTGCCTCAAATCTTAAGGTCCATAAGTGCCTTAGTGGTCCAAATTGTCGTGTTAAATAAGGATAGTGAGACATAAAGTGATGTTTTGGTTTTAATGAAACGTTGGGAAACAAAGTTTGGCGATCTTCCAAATACTCAGTAATTAAAGTTTTTAACAGAGCTACTTGATTAAGAGAAATTTTAAAACTTAACAGCAGCAAACAAATTCTTCGTAAACATAATATTAATTTCCATATTGCAGAGACATGGAGGTTATCATCGTCATGAAATACAAAAGGGAATAACAACAAAAGCATCATATTTTGTGATGCATTACCAGGAAGTTTGTCACCTTTGCTCAATAAAGGAAAAGTGTATTTTTTCTCAAACAGAAAATGCAGTTTGCTCACTTTAATGTTAAGTTCATCGTAAGAAAACAATTTGTTAGAAACACATTGGTTAATTGCCAACATCAAATCCCTTTGTACTACACCTTCAAACATGTCATGAGCAATGCAAGGCGGTAGTCCAGGATTACACACGTGATAATAATTTAAGTCGTTTAACACAGAATTGTGTTTAATTCCTTTAGAAGGCTCTGCTTCAAAATTTGCCATGTTAACATCGAATTCGTACAATGACTTTGTTCGGTAAACTATAGGTTTATTAGAATGAGCATAGCTAAAATCGCAGTATCGACAGAAATAACCCGATGTGCTAAAATTTTCGACAAACCCACCAACTTGATGACTGCCTAAGTTGTCTCCGATCACTGATAATAAGGAACCTTTTATATTAATTCGTTTATTGTCAACTTCTACTTCGACGCCTGTAACTTCTATAAACTTCAAATCTTCCAATAATACAGTTAGCACTTTATGAAAACCTAACATTTTAATAGTTTTTTCGTACACCAGTCCAATTAATTGAATATGACCCACTTTTGACCAATGCCTACTGGGTATATTATTAACTGTAAAGTATATTCCAACTACTTTATGCTTTTTTCTGGATGAACCTAAAGGGTTACAAATTTCGAAAGCGTCTTGGTAAAGAATTAATTGCAAGGCATGGGGATTATTCTCGTAAAATAAGTTATTCTTAAAAGAAATACCATCACATATATTTGAGAAATCCTCAACATTGCTTTCTGGTGAAAAATATGCTTTACAAAAATTTTTTGTTTTAAACAACATTTCTATCGTTTTTATAATCGGGACGTAATAAAACTTAGAACCACCTTCTAAATTAATACACTTTGGCGAAATGTAATTAAAATAGTTTTGATAGTATTTATTTCTTATGAATTTAGATCTTAGTTCACCATGTACGGCGTTATGAACTTTGTCAAACAAATTGTTTTCTAGAATGGCTTTATCGATTACAACATTGTTAGTTTTTAACTTTTCAATTATGTAATCATTATTTAATTTATTGAGGTCAGTTATACCATCGATAACTATTTGCATTGATTTATTTGTCATAAAGTATTTTGATTCCATTGTCAGATATAATGAACTGATTAACTTGAGGCTTAGCTCTTCATAATTATTGTTAGGTTGACCTTCACCTACTACGACAGGATTATAATCTTCATCTGAATCCAAATTGTTAATTACTTCGACGTCCCCGACGTCATTTATATCACAAAGCGTGTCTTTGTTTCTTACAAAAGAACCTTTCAAACTTTTAAAATGAATTCTACGCATATGTTGTGACAAATTATTCACCTTTGTAAACACTGTCTCAGTTTTACAGGAATCAAACAAAGGGCATTTCAAAGGAATGCTATTTTTAATGTGACTATATGCATGCTTACACAATTCATTTGTATTAGTGGTTTTAAATACACACACAGTGCATGAAACAGAAGCAAGCATCATCGTCGAATTATAATTAAATTTATGATTTTGGAGGATATGTTTTTGAAAGTGTCTGTAATTTGAGAAGTTTAAATTGCAGTTGTTTTTCAAGCATTTGAATGTTGCACCATGTGTGTTTCGATGATAGCTTAAGTGAACATTATATTTGCTCAATGTTTTTAAATTGAAACCACAAATGGTGCACTTAAATATCATTGTAACTTATACCTAGCTTATAACTACAATGGGTTAAATATAGGTATACTTTCCTTTTTATGTTTACACACCAACTCCAACACGAGCACCAGCACCACTAACGCACAGATAGAAGTAAAACGGTAATGGCGAGCGAACGCGCACAAGCACAAATTACTTACTCAATGCATAAAAATCCCGTGTCGACTATAAATTATTCTATTGGTTAAAATTTACATGATATTTGTAAAATTACTATTTCATTGAAATTTTCCCACTTTCTCTTTGAAAATTACAACCTATTTGAGTATACTATGTGTTTTTTTGAAATTTTACAATCCATCTTTGTAAATGTTTTACAGAATTGAAAAATAACAAATTAAATTTACAACCATTTTGCTATTCCTACAATCCGAATCAGAAAAATGCAAGAAATGTGTAAATTTCCCAGTATTATTGTCGTTATAAAATTTACAATCAATATTAAGGTAAATTACGTTAATTTCATTGTAATCTCTAAGTAAATTTACAGCAATTTTTTTCAGTGTAGGTAATATTAACCACAAACCACTGTTTTAAATTTATGCGGGAATATAACGCAGAAAAAAGTTTATTTTGCATTCTCTTTTAGTGTGAAAAAGGGCAGGGTAGTTTTCCATTAAACTGTAATAAACTCATTCTTCTCATACTAAAAATTCATTACTCTATTTTCTAATTATTTATTAGACTACCTACATCGGACGCCAAATCATTACTATTTTACTTAACCTAATTATTATCGGTTAAAAGACGTGCATTGGACTTTGGATATAAAAGTGCACAAATGCTCAATGACAATTTCGACATAATTAATAGCAATTTAAACGAGTCATTAATTTCTGAATTTCTCAATCCCAAATTACAAAATGTAAATCTCGTGTCCATCACACTTCCTTTCCGGGAGAGAAAAAACACTTACATAAAAGGAACGTGTTTTTTCGGCTTTTTACAATAATTTTCTTAATAACTAATTAACAAATCGCTTAATTCTATTTTTATGGATTTCTGTTAGCTTATCCCCTATCTTAATTAACACGTTAGGACCTTTATTGTCCATCACTGTATAAGGTCCGTTGAACAAATTTTCGTATTTATACACTCGCGAATCGTTTTTCACAAGCACTTTGTCACCTTTCTTAAAGTTAACACTTGAACACTTTTCATCATACCTAATTTTCCTACGCTCTTTTGAATCTATCAAATTATTCCTAGCATCATTCCATGCTCTTTGTAACCTATATTTTAACTGAATTGGATAATCATTAAAATTGTAAATTGGTTCTGTGACTTTACATAAATTTGATGGCAAGTTACATTTTTTACCAAAAACTAATTCGTAAGGTGTGTACTTCGTTTCGGAATGAACACTGTTATTATATGAAAAACTCCAATAATTGATCCACGAACTCCATGTTTCGGGATTTTCTTGGCAATTTATTCTAAGAAAAGCGCCTAATTGTTTGTGGGTATTTTCGAGTGAACCTATTGAAGCTGGATAATGTGGTGTTGAATTTAATTTTTCTATTTTGAGTAATTTACAAATATCTTTAAATGTGGTGGATATGAATTCACTTCCTAAATCAGTTGCTATCATTTCAGGGATACCGGACCGTAATATAAAATTTTCTACGAAAGCTTTAGCTACTGTGTCGGTTTCTTTATTTAATATTGGGTAACATTCAACGAATTTTGTTAATTCGCATTGCAACGTTAATATGTATTTATTTTCACTCTCGTCGGGTTTTAAAGGACCTACCAGATCGAGATAAATTTTTTGGAACGCTGCATGAGCTGTAGATGTTATGCACAAAGGCTGTTTTTTGATTATTGAGTACTTACATTTTTGACAAAGTTCGCATTTCTTAACAAATTTTTCAACATCTCTTTGTAATCCTATCCAAAAGTAATAACGTTTTATATTACCTATTTACCATTCGGTTTATTCCTGCGTGTCCTCCTGTCGGTAAAATGTGAAAATCATTTAAAATTAATTGCCTTTCATCCTTATTATCGATTTTTTCTACGTCTTGAATTACGCAAATTTTTAGGCCTGTTTCCTTAATTATTTTAAAAATTGATGCATCATTTAACTTACTTATAAAATCTCGCGAGCTCGTATTTTTAATAATAAATATCTCTAGTATTTCAAATTTTTCTGTAATCTTACTTAAGTCTCTCAACGATTTCCCTAGGGATAATATCGCTGATCGAGTCTTTTGATTTACGTATATAACATTGGCCTGCTTATCGTATACGAGATTATTTACCTTATAAAATTTACTGTCATGACATTTTCTATTACATTGTTTTCCTAGGTTTACCATTTCATTTCCTGTAACAACAATTAACTCTACTGCTTTTTCCGGTATTTTAACTAATTCGACGATTCCGGGGTGATCAAATCCTTCCTCATCGATAGCTAAAGTTTTTTCGGGGTTGTCCTCCTTTCTATGTTTAGTTTGCGCTCTAGTAACAACAAACGCTTTATTATTTATTTGAGACATATTTTTTAATTCCTCTGAGTCAGTTACAATACGCGACAATGCGTCTGCTATAGTTCGTTCACTCAACAGAAATAGTTAAGCCACTCCTACAAAATTTGGGCCAATGTAAGCAACAACCAGTTTTACAACCACAAAATTATAAAAAGCGGAAAATTTGAAAAATCAAATTGAAATGTCACTTGTTCAAGACTAATTATGGCGCTATCTCTCTGAACAAAACTCGTGGCAAAAATAGTAAAACCTGCAAACTGTTAAATACATGTAAATATGCAACATAAAAACACTGTTTATATTGAGAAAAGTACAAAAAAGTATTATTACAGCAGCACAAAGTTTTGAAATTACAAGTGCACTTGAATATAAACAAAGGTACATAACAATTTAAATCCTGTATCGCTTCACTCGGATTCGGACTCCGTTGATGTCGAGTCATCTCCCACATGAATTACTAATGGCTCCACTACGATGTCCATTAAAATGTCAATTTGCCACATTTTTTCCTCTTCACTTTGAGCATGGCGAATTGCGTTCTTCCAATTTTCAGCAGTAATATGTTCCACTGCTTGTTGAAATAGTGGATGAAGGTCTTTCATTTTAAATGTGGTGTTGTTTCTGGCCACTTCACCTTTTATTTGCGCCCATATCAGTTCAATTGGGTTCAATTCGCAGTGATATGGAGGCAATCGCAGCACGGTACGATTGTGTTCCTTTGCAATTTCATCAACTACATATTTTGGTGTAACAGCTGCCCGTTTCACAAGCTGTAGGAGTTCAGCTCTTACCATATCTTGAATGAAGTTCGTGTACCTCTGTATACTCCCGAAGAATCTTGTAGACACTCGGAATGCTTACACCTAAATTACACAATAATAAGTAAAAATGAATGTGCCTAAGATGAAAATTACCTGCTGCTTTAGCCGTAAACTCAACTTTATCCGTTTTAAATACCTCCGGGTTGTCTTCCGAATATGCCTTGAAGATATTTAAAATGCCAGTTTTGTCTTCAACTGAAAAGTGCTTGGCAGAACGTCTTTTCGGTGGAGAGAAAGCAGCACCGGCGACATTCATGTTTGCGTACAACTTTTCTTGATCGCGAATAATATAACCCTAAAAACAGGCATGTAAAAATCGTGTATAAAATTTTATAATTACTCACCTGACTATCTTTAGAATACACCGACGAGTCTTTATAAAGACTATTTTGTGTGAATAAAGGAGATTAATGGCAAATTGACGCAAGTAAAGATGTAAAAACCGGCAAAAACCGGCAAAAACGCAATAGGCAAGATGACAGATGACAGATTACCCAATTCGGCCAATTCGCTTTACAAGTGTGATTGTGGCTTCAAAAATTACACCAATAACAATGTCGTATTCAAATGTGGCGGTAATTGTTGAGGAGGGGCTTAACTATTTCTGTTGGGTGAACGAACTATAGTAGCATTTTAACAAGAAGCATGAGTGCTGGTGGCAACAAAAATCCGAGTCGGAAGACGAGGATTTTTTGACCTGCACGAATGCTTTTATTGCTGTTAAATTTTGCGCGGGTAAACTCGAAAAAACTGCTGACCGGTGCCGTCATATAGTTTTTCCATGATTGGTTTATGATTGGTAGCAATTAAGGCGAGGGAAATAGTCACATACATATACAGGGTGCCCATTATGTATGGAATATAGTACACAGGGTGGCGCCTAGAGCGACGCAGCATAGGGATTTCAATGGTAATTTCTTTATAGTCAATTACTAGCTCCCCTAATTATTTTAGAGCAAAAGTCTAAATGTGTTCTTTTTAGAGAAAAAATGTATCGCATCTGTTCATACTTTTACTTATAATTTTCCGTTTTTCAAAACCGTAGAAATCGACAAAATAAAAAATTACATTTTTATAAATCAGTGATGCTTTGGATTCTTTTAACAAACTACAAGCGCATCGCATCTAAGTTATCGTTGTTTGACGTGGAACGATTTTCATATTTACTTCTGTTTCAAGTATCCGACGCAGCGTCTATGGGGTAAAGTTTTTTTCGAGAATGTAATGCTGAGAAATTGATTTGAGGAGGAATTGTTCTTAAACTTATATTCGAATTTTCCGCTACTGCAGCCAAAAC